TTGTTACGATCAGAGCCGAATTTGAACATTTCCTTAATCGTGTGTCCATCGGGTGTCAATTTCGGGACAGTGTGACAGGGGCTTAAAGGGTTCCTATCGTGCAAAATGCACTGTTTGAAGTCTTTTCTACGTGCATATGGAGGATGAGGCTCGAATGGGTGATCCGTTTGGTATGTTTGAGCAAAACACCTCATAGACATGTTGTTTATATATCTGACCCCTATAATATATGCCTAAACATGTTATAATAGATTATTCCTTTAAAGGACTCCTAACTATTTAAAGCTGTTGTGTGTACAGAAAGATTATTCAGAACGATCAAGACTTTCTGTTAAAGTTGTTGACGTCCTTGTATTGTATCCTACATAAAACCTTGTTAGTTTAAGATAAGATAAGGAGTACTTTATTGATCCCAATTTGTGAAATGTTTGTGTTGCAGCAGCATAGAAAGAGAAGACATTGTACATTAGAGGATTTAGTTTCAGCCTCAGCTTGGGATTTACAGATGCTAAGTCCTTGTATCTCTACAGTCTTGGTGGTTCTTTATTCTTGTAAGGTCTGAGAATGCGGAGTGTTGTGAAGCTTAATCCTCTTACAGTGACACAGCCCAGCAAACAATGTTACCAGGTCACCTTTAGCATAGATCTGTGTTTAAGACAGACCCAAACTCTCCGATGTTTTCGTCCTGAAGCCTATAAGGTTTCAGGACGAAAAGGAGAAGTATCAGACTTGGTCCAGATTCAGCCTCACTGACTGTTAATAACTTCATCATTGGCACGCTTATTGCAGCGCTGCTCTTTTTCCTTGTGCTACCATTACTTATTCTCCTTATCCTTTAATGTGATTGAGAATTTCAATTAGCGATGTCTTTGGTCTCTGCGGGGCCCAAAAATCAAAGGATGACATTTTAATTTTTCTCATTTGTCCTCATTTGCGCCGAGTCACCTGAGACTGCCGAGGTGATTGAAATGTGATTTTTTTTCAGGCCACGAAACGCAGCGTAACGCTTGAACAGCTGCAATATTGTCTCTGCCCGTGTAATTCTCTCTCGGTTAATGTAATGGCAGAGCGGCCCTTCCGCCCAAAAACCTATGAATTGCGTTCAATTTAGCACACCACTTAGCTCACTTCAGAGGGAGATCCAATAAGCCGGCTCAATGAGGCTTGACCTATTATTGCAGCGACACGACACTCGCCATGTGCTGCTGAGATGTCCTGGGGAAGTCTCTTTAAAGACGGGTTCGGGTAACGGCAAAACAGGGCAACGTTTGGATGAAAGAGAAGGATGAAAGGAATATGAAAAGTGTCAAAAGAACTATCATTTCACGTTAAGACTTCGAGGAATGTGAGTATTTGGTTAGGGATATTGCCAAATACCTGAGACTACTTTTAAATCCAGGCTGAAGACTTTCTTTTTGCTTTGAATTGAACTATTCACATCTCACACTGCACTGTAACTTGTATTCATGTACCTGTGTTACTCATGTGTTATAACTTATTATCTTTGTATTTTAATGTTTCCAATGTGTTTTATGCTCTCTCTTTGAAATGCCTTGTGTTGAGAAGTGCTATATAACTAAACTTGCCTTTACCTCAAGGAGACTCGCTTAGCACTTCCCTAAAGACTCAAAGTGAGACACAATCTGTTCTGCAGAAGCACCATTTGGTCCGCATTAAATATATAAAGTACTTAGAGAAAACTTTATGAAAACTAATGAGTTTGTCCTATAAGAAGGGCTAAGCTGGAGGACATGTCTTGCAGCAGAACGTGCACTTTTGACTACTTTGAACTAGCTGAGCATTCAAAATGTGCTGCTTTTGAATGTCTCTCGCTAGCTAGAGTTGATTTTAAGGTGACAGCGATGGAAAATACGCCTAACACTGATAATATTAGCTTGTATCAGACTGTGCTTGTTGAACAACAGCCCCTCTCGGTCCCAGGAGTTTACTGAGTCCCTGAGGATCTGTGTTCCTGTGATGTTCAGGAAAGTTGCACCTATAGGCTTCCGCTATCTGAAAACCCTACATTTCCGTTACCTGCCCTGAAGCTAGCCGTGTGCTCTCACTCTGAAGAACTGTTTTTGTAGGTGTAGAAAACAGAGAATATTTGATTTCTCTCTCTACACCACCGCCTTCATGTTTATAAGGCTTGTCACCAGGAAAATTCACGAGGACCTTTCTCCCTCTGTGGGTTGTAACACTGAGGGCAAGGTGGAGCAATAACAGGAGAGGATTTGAAGGAAGGCAACCAGAGAACATATCGACTCGGACTGGTCCAAACACACACAGATAGCAGATAGCTGGGAGGCTCGGATATATCAATGCTCCATGTTTTATCAATCAGCTGCGGATGCTGAGCGGTTCTCTGCTGCCGTGCCCGGGGATAGACCGGTGAGGGAGGATAAACAAACTCCTAAAAAACAGCCAGAATCAGTCGTTGTGTGTGTGAGGACCTCTGGAGGAGGAATGAAGAAGAAAGGATGAAGCCAGTCAGCTACAGAACGGCCATCTTTACCGTAGGCTCGTCTCCTGAGGGTCGACACTGAGCTCTTACTCTCTTTGAGTCTGAGTCAGGATGGACATCGATTCTTATCCAATCAGAAGCCAACAGAGAGCGCTGCAGATAGACGCTTCCAGCACCAATATTTTGTACTTCTCTTGTGCAATTTTAGTTGATATACCTCTTACAATAAAGCAGTCTCTTCTTGTAACTTGTCGTCACATATTTATGACATCAGCAAGTTATAAGCAATGCCAAAACGAAGAAGAATTGGATGACCCTCTTTATTGGTCACACGTACATGCCCACAGCGACATTTGACCTCTGCATTTAACCCATCCTAGTACCAGCAGCAGAGAAAAACAATAATTCTCCCATTTTATTTTGTTATTTTAAGCGGCCATTTTGTATTTTTGTACTTCTCTTATGCAATTTCTGTTTATATACCTCTTGGAATAAAGCAGTGTCTCCTTGTCACATATTTATGACATCAACAAGTTATAAGCAAGGCCACATTGATATTTAAAGGGGCCTTAAAGGTTTTATTTGCATTTTGTGCATCCTTTTGCATGCACACAACCGATAACACACGACAGGAAAGGGGACAACCCCCAAATCAGAAGAGAGCCCCTTTAAATCATTTCACATGTATGAATAAAGTGCATGTCTAAAAAACCAAAGATCTCTCTATAAAACATGGACAAGTCAGCATTTAAATATTCCAAGGTTAGAAAAAGCCCTCGGGACAACCTTGGAGCACTTTGCTAACTTTACTTTGAGCTGTCAATTAGCAGAGAGGCTGTGGAGGAAAGGTAACACGATGTCAGCGCGTTGTGAGGGCCCTGATTCAACTTCTTTTCTTTTTATTACATTTGTATTGAGTCAGGCACAATGAGTTTACATTTATACAGTCAATATATTTTTGTTTTCCCCTTTCCCCCCCTCCCGGTCCTAGATAGTAAATTAAATAACTAAATAAATAGATACATGTATAGGTAAAAGAAAAGTAGAAGATAATATTAAAAGAAAATTAATAGATAAGGAAATAAAGAATAATAACAGTAATAAATGTACCCATATACGTATACCCACATATACACATACATGTGTGTACATACATACATGTATACAAAGTAAAAAAAATAAAAAATAAATAAAATAAATAAAATAAATAAAATAAATAAATAAAATAAATAAAATAAAATAAATAAAAAAACAGGTAAAAAGAAACATAAGAAAAACAAAGATGATTCAGCTTCTAGTTGACTGAAAACATGTTCTGCTGGATAACAGCTTTAATGATTTAGTTCATGAATTGCCCGTACGAATAGAAAATTGCCTCTTGAATCGTTACATTTTGGTTCAGAAAGAAGTCAATCAATACTTTTAATGATCCCTATAAAGTTGGTTCTTTCAGAGGCAACAGCTGAGTGGATGTTTGTGTCTCTATAGTTGTATTGTAAAGTTAGACTGTATCACCTCCTCTTACGGTACGTCCACACAGCAGCGTTAAAAAAATCTTCCAACGCTTCTGCCCATTCACTTTGAATGGGGTGACGTCACTTTGCCTCACTTTTCGCCGAACTGCATTGTGGGAAGCAAAGCGGAGATTTCCAGGCAT